CACCACAGGGCGTGTGCGAACTCGCAGAAGAGAATCTCCAGAAGCAGGCACAGCAGAAGGAACTTTGGTGCCATAGTCTCCCTCGCGGACTCCGGAAACCAAGAGTTTGTTATGAAGGAGGAAAGAGTGATCTTTCGCTCTCTCACTCGTCTCTCACTCCTGCGATCACCCTTCCCTTCTCTCAGGGGAAGCAGGCCTGACTTTTGGGAGTATTCGCGTATATTCCTTCCCTTCTTTCTTGCTTACTTGCTTGGTTGCTTGCTCTCAGTTTTCTGTTATAGCAAAGCCGCAAAGTTCGTGAGGTTGTGTCTGAGTTAAGAATCCTTTCGGAAGGGGTTGTGCAGAGACCGAAGTGAATTCACGAAAATCTATGTATCTCCTTACGTTGTAAATATTAGGTGTCTGTAAGGTTTCCCTCGTCACGTGACAATGTCCCTGGTTTAGTCTCTAAACTTTAAATAAGATTCAATAAGTTATCATTATACTACAAGCTAATCATACAACTGACACTCAACGCCACCAGTGTTTAAAGTACTCTGCAAACTATCTAAAATATCCAAAGGCAATCGCACGCCGCAGTTCTGTCCTCCAGTAGCAAATTCAGCAGAGTTCCAAAAGCCTTTTCAACTCACAGTCTTCGCCCCATTCATTACTCGGGAGCAGGACGTGCGCATTCATCCCTCGCACCGCCCTCCGCGCCTGCCCTTCAGCTAACTCTCCTTAACGACGATCCTGTCAGCGGCGCCGCTCTATCTTTTCTGACAAGAGGCCTCGGGGCGACTTCCAGTTCGGGCGCCATGGTTTCCGAAGACGAGCGCTGACTGTTTTCTGCCACACACCTGAGGCGCCAACATCGTCTTGTCATTGGCTGCCCGGATGAGTTATTGGCCGGGACATTAGCCAATCAGCTTCGCCCATCACGTGCAAATGCATGTTTATCACTAATTTTCAACACCAACGACCACCAATATCGCACACCTTTTTCGCTCACGTTTCGTTCCGTTTTTTTTCCAGCCACACTTTTCACCGACACTCGCGCCGTCACACGGCCGCCGAATCCCCGAGGGGCGAGGAGCGGAGAGGAAATCCCAGAGGCGAGGGCGGGCGGGCGAGCGAGGCAAGAGGGAGGCGGCGCGGGAGATTGCAGGAGAGCGCAAGACACGAGGCGAGCGGACGCGCGCTACGAACAACTGCGGCCCAGAGAGTCACTAATCGGTAGCCGGGCTGCGAGAGGGAGGCAGGTCGCAGGCTCGGCCCCTGCGCCCGCCCGCCCAAAACCCGCCCGCCACTCGCCTCCGCCGCTCTGCCCGCCCAGCCGCCTGCCGTCCACTCCCGAGCGGGTTCCTTGGCGCCCGACGCCCGTGGCCGGCCCGTGGCCCTTCTCCCGTCGAAGTGTGCTGACACCTTCGCTGCCTTGCCTGGCCCTCCCTTGCCCCTTCTGTCTCTCCCCTTCCACCTTAACTGTCCCCCCTTTCTCCGTCCATACCTCCCTTTGCGTGACCCCTCTCCCCCTTCTGTTCTTCCCCTTCCCCCTCCCGTCTCTCCCCTTCTCTCTTCCGTCCCTCCCCTCCCGTCCCTCCCCTCTCCCCTCCAATTCCCTCCACGCAACCCACTGCCTCATCCACCTCAACCTCCCTCTTACCCATGCTTATTTTACCCTCCATCTGGCCTTACCCCTTAAATCTATCGCCCTGTCGCCCTCTTCCACCCAAAGCGATATTCGAGCTCCCCCCCCCCCCCCCCTCCCTCCACCTGCACCCTCCGCCCTAGCTTCCCTTCACGCTTTGAAAAGAAAGATGGAAAAAAATACGTTAAAAAAAAAAACGGAGAAACCTTCAACCCAGACGTCTAAACTTGGAATTCTAAACTTACTGTGATTTTCTCGCTACAAGTCATCTTTGATAAGCTTGCGTATGATGTCGCGCGTGAGGGGCGTGGCCAGGTTAGTGTGGGGGGAGGGAGGAGGGAGGGAAAGGGGGGGAGGGCGAGGGGTGAGGAAGGAAATTAGAGGAAGGGAAGAGGGTGAGAGAGGGGAGACGAAGGCAAATGAAAGGAGGGGAAAGGAAAGGGTTGGAGAGGGAGGAACAAGGGAACGAAAAAAGAAGGAAGAGAGAGAGAGGAGAAGAAGGGAACAGAATGAAAAGGAAGGGAAGGAAAAGAGAACTTAGGGGAAGGGAAGTAGAAGGGAGCGAAGGAAGGAGAAGCGAACGGCGATGGTAAGGGAAGGAAACGAGAGAAGTTAGAGATGCAAAGCAAATGAAAAGAAAAGAAAATGATTTAGAAACGGAGGCGAAATAAGCCAGAGAGCAGTGAAAGGAGGATGGAAGGGGGCCGGGGGGAGGGGGGAGGGGGCAAGGGGAAGGGCAGCGGAAGAGGGATCACCACAGTTGGCAACGGAACCTCTGCCAAGGCTCCACCTGTTCGTGTTCCACCTGTTCACAATAAACTAATCTCGCGTCTTCCAGAAAGTTATTCTACAGAGTTCATCATGATCCCCCCC